GCCACTTCCGGCTTTTTTCTTTTTTGCTTATGTGGTGCTGAGGAATCGAACCCAGGGCCTCATGCATGCAAGGCAAGCGCTCTACCACTGAGCCTCCTTCCCAGCCCTATCCATTCTATATTCTGTCCATTAATACTGAAGAGTCTTTAAATTGTGTTTAATAAAAAGAAAATAGTTGTGTTTCCTTAGTGATGAAAAATAGAAGAAACAGACTAATTAGGCTTGTTTTTGGTTATTGATATATGTAATCATATATAGCCTTAAGGTGCCACTCAACAAACCTATAAAAAGTCTTTTTTTTAAATCTTTGTGCTCTAAGCTGAGCACTGGTGGCTTATACCTGTAATCCTAGTTACTCAGGAGGAGGATCATGATTCAAAGCCAGCCCTGGCAGGAAAGTCTCTGAGACTCTTTATCTCCATTTAACCACCAGAAAACCAGAAGTGGTGCTGTGGTTCAAAGTTGGTAGAGTGCTATCCTTGAGCTAAAGAGCTCAGGGACACTGCCCAGACACCTGAGTTCAAGCCCCAGGATTGACAAAGAAAACAAAACTTTGTACTCTACTAGTAGTTTTGTTTAAAATGGTATGATATAGACTATGATAAAATGCTCAAAAGCAAGTTGTACTTTGGTTTTGTAAAGAGGAAGCATTTCTTTCTTCCTGAAGTATCTTGAAACTGCTAATTCAGGTTTCTGAGAGGCTGAGTTGCAAGTGTGACTCTGTCATGAAGTAGGTAGAGCTGATGTGTCTAAAGCATGACCATGCTAGTCATGCAACAAATGACAATGCTCATTCCTTAGCCAAAATGTAAAAATCGGCCCCAACGTGTATATTAGTCAAAGAGAACTTATTAGCTTTAGAATACAAATAGATCACATACTATTAGTAAAGCTAGAATGTACAATCTTTCCTGCTGTTTTCTTTATTGAACTGTGACATTTATGGTGGTTTCTAACTTGTTGATGTCTCTGAACTATTTCAGGCCTCATGTGAATTTGAAACAGGACGTGTGTCATTCTTTCAGTGAGAAGATTTCTATAAAGGTGGAACAAACACCCACTCAGTGTCCTACAGCTGTTCTCCCTCCAGTTCCTGCTAACTCATTCCAGCTGGAATCTGACTTCAGACAACTGAAAAGCTCCCCAGAAATGTTGTATCAGTATTTAAAGGTAAAAGAGAAGGAGCTAATAGTTCTTTTGGAAATAAAATGTCAGTTTCTCTTGGCCACTATATAATCATAGTTTTACTAGTATTTGCTCTTATGATATGATTGATTATAGAAAATGCTTTTCTCCCTGGCTTGAAACATGCTTTAAAAATTTTGCCACCAGAAACCTTGATGTTTTCTAAGTAGCTTTTGTGTTAAAAGCAAGATTCTATAGTCATTTACAATCTAATTCTATATTTTGTAGCTTAAGCTTAATCCTTCATGCTTTGAAATGTAGAAAGGAAGCTAAAATACATTGATATCTTCTGTGTGCCAAGACATGCTTGCAATACTTTAGGCAATTATTTTCTTGAGAATGAACTTTTACTTGCTGGGAAGGTGGCTCAGTGGTAGAGTGCTTGTCTTGCATGCATGAGGCCCTGGGTTCGATTCCTCAGCACTACATGAGCAAAAAGAAAAAAGTGGGACATGGTGCTGTGGCTCAAGTGGTAGAGCGCTAGCCTTGAGCTGAAGAGCTGAGGGACAGGGCCCAGGCCCAGAGTTCAAGCCCCATGACTGGACCCCTCTCCCCCCTCAGAAAAGAAGAAACAAGTTGTAAAGTTTGTTTTTCGACATAATGACTTGTATATCTCGTTGCAACGGGTCCACCTGTATCCCTAGTTAAATGATTCGAACTTTACAACTTTGGTGTGGGGGGGGGAGGATTGGGTGGGGGGAGGTGGGGAGATGGGAAGGGATGGGAAGGGGAAACAAAGAGGAGGCAACAATGCTTGATAAGAAATGTACTCATTATCTTGCCCATGTAATTGTAACTCCTCTGTATGGTATTCTCACACAAAAAAAATTTTTTTAATAAAAAAAAAGAAAAGAAAAAGAAACAAATCAGGGCTGGGAAAGTGGCTCAGTGGTAGAGCGCTTGCCTTGCATGCATGAGGCCCTGGGTTCAATTCCTCAGCACCACATAAACAGAAAAAAAAGCTGGAAGTGGTGCTGTGGCTCAAGTGGTAGAGCACTTGCCTTGAGCTGAAGAGCTGAGGGACAGCGCCCAGGCCCAGAGTTCAGGCCCATGACCAGAAAAAAAGAATCAAATCATATGAAACTTAGCATATAGATTAGCATAGCCTTTTCAGGCTTAATGATAGTAGCACTCCCTTATAATTGTAAACAATTCAAATGTATCATCTCATGTAATGCTACTTTTTAAAATCCTTAGTTAACAGTTATTGAGAGCTCTCTCAAGTTTCCTGTGTCTGTCTCTTCTGTTCATAAGTTTTCTTTCTAGCTAGAACAGAAGGATGATCTTACAATTCATTTAAGTTACATTCTTTTATAATATTATATTGAAAGAAATATATTTTTCTAAAATGTACTTAGTATGTTTTGTGAAATGTGAATAGTGTCACAACTTAATTTTCTGTCTTTTTCCAAAGCAAATTGAACCATCCTTGTATCCCAAATTGTTTCAGAAAAATCTAGATCCAGATGTATTCAACCAAATCATTAAAATTCTACATGACTTTTACATTGAGTAAGTTGAATTGTTTTATTCTTGTATTTGAAAAATGAGTTTTTTGATTTAAATGTTAATACTGGTATACATAGAAAATTAGCTTTCTAGTAAATTTTACTGTTATAGAAGTTTTAAAGAGAGACAAGTACAAACAGTAAAAGGGGAAAGTTTAAGCAGGAAGAAAAGGAGCTTCTTGATTATTCTTTTTTCCTGTAGAGAAAAGTAAGATGTGGGTGACCAGTGTTAGGCAGCACTAGTTGCACTGCTAAGCTGTCATGGAAGACTTATTCACCTCTCCAGTTGACTTGGTGGATTGCTTAATTTGAGTATCTAGAATAGTCATTCGGCCATGGAGTCCAGCTGTGTTGGGCTTTCGAAAGCACAAGTCCTGCCCTCACAAAACTTCCAATTAGTTGGAGGGATAAGGGGGACACATAAGTGGAAAGACAAAGGGTGAACAAATGCAGCAGTGGTACTCACTGGACACTATGTTGAAAATAAACTATACAATTTGTAGATGGGGACAAGAGGGAAAGCCTGGGAGAGAATGAGGGAAGGGGAGAACATTGTCCCCCCAAAATGTACTTGTTACCTGACTTGTGTTACTGTAACCCCTCTGTAAATCACCTTTATAATAGCAATAACAATTTTTTTTAAATGCCCAAAAAAAGAATATAGAGAGTATCCAGGGGAAAAGTGAAGACTTTAGGAATAGCTGTATTAGTAAATAGAACCAAATGAGCTACTTTTACCTCATAATTTGTTTTTATATCTGCCTTATTCCAGGAAAGAAAAGCCATCACTCATCTTTGAAATCTTACAAAGGCTCTCTGAATTAAAACGGTTTGATATGGCAGTGATGTTTATGTCAGAACCTGAGAAAAAGAGTAAGTTTTAAAGTATCTCCTAATCTATTTCTTCTTATATATTATTAGTCAATGAATGTCCAAAGACATTTATTGATTATTTACTATACATAGAATATACAATTAAATATAAATTAACTACAGTTTAATCAAAGAAGTAGAGTTAGATTGAGAACAATTAAAGTTATATTTAATTCTGGCAGAATTATCAAGTGTGGGTACTATTATGGTTCTCCTTTTACAAAGGAGTAAGTTGAGGCACAAAGAAGTGAAGGAATTTGACCATAGTCACATAGCTAGGAAGCCATACGCAGGACTTAAACCCACGTATTCTAATTCTGTGGCCTGGGATGGCATGTTGGAAATGCAAAAAGTAGTATAGTGATTGAGTTCTTTGTCCCGGAGCATGTTACGAGAGTCCCTGTCACAGGTGCATATGTATAGGAAGATGTCTCATCCATTCCGAGAGGCACTTTTCTTGAGTGTGTTCGATTTCAGCTGCATTCTCCAAGTGCAGGAAATCACTTAGATGAAGGAGCATTTCAGATTCAGGGAATACTCTGTGCCAGAAATTCTGAGGCAGTAGCAATATGAAGTTTAAAAATAAAACTAAGTTTAAAAATTAGTTAATTGAAGGACTGGGAATGTGGCTTAGTGGTAGAGTGCTTGCCTGGCATGCATGAAGTCCTGGGTTCAATTCCTCAGTACCACATACACAGAAAAAGCCAGAAGGGCTGGGAAGGTGGCTCAGTGGTAGATTGCTTGCCTTGCATGCATGAGGCCCTGGGTTTGATTCCTCAGCACCACATAAGCAAAAAGAAAAAAGCCGGAAGTGGTTGTGGCTCAAGCGCTAGCCTTGAGCTGAAGAGCTGAGGGACAGCACCCAGGCCCAGAGTTCAGGCCCCACGACTGGACCCCAAAAAAAAAAAAGTTAATTGAAATAAAAATATTAAGTAAATGAAAGTATGCTTGATATACAGAGCAAAACCTTTAGCAAAATACAGAATGAGTTTAGTTTAGTCTGCATTATTAATGTCATTGAGGACCTAGGGAAATTTATGCTTCTTTGAGAAAAGCATTCTGAGAAGAACATTGGGTATTATACACCTTTTTTCTTAGATTGGATTTTCAAATATATACATTATAATTTATAAATCATTGTAATTATTGCTCTTATTGCTCCTTTTATTTTACATTTGCTTAGTTTTTTAAAATATGAAATTAAAATGGAGTTTTTTTTCTTTTTCAGTTGCACATGTATTATTCAATCACATAGACAAATCAGGATTGAAGGATAATTCCGTTGAGGAACTCAAGAAAAGATATGGCGGTTGATTCCATTTTTTCTGAGACTTTTTGACTTTCACATATAAATTTTTTTCTACTGAAAATAAAGTGTTTTACTCTTTAATAAAATTAAGTCATGTTGGAAAGAACTCTATTTAGATATAAGTTAATTGAGTATAAAATTGTGATCTAACTAGTGAGAAATGTTTTGGTGTAAACTACATTTTTCTGAAAATAAAATACTAAGTATATTTGTAAGGATCACTATATTGTTTTAGAAATCACTTTAAATGTTACATTTAGGAAGTCTTCAGTGTCCTGTAAATGTAATATTATTTTCTATTTTCATGAATTTTTGTAATAAAGCTGCTTCATTCTAGTATGGACAAAATTATCTGTGGAGGGGATTAGGTAGATAGTGAGATTATTCCCCCCCCCTTTTTTTTTGGAAGTCAGTGTTCTACCACCTGAATCAAATTCTTAGCCTTCTCTCCCTTTCCTTTCTCCTCTCCCGGTCCTTCCCCTCTCCTTTTTGCTTAAATAATTCCCTCACTCAGAATTGGGGGTGAAGCCAGGTTCCTTGGAGGACTCTGCCTTTTTTAATGGCCCAAGTCCTGTTTTATGATGCTTAGAGCTGATTGGACTTCACATTACAACCCAGCTATCCCTTGGAAGCAAATCATGTTGCGTGTAGATGAGTAGCTGGTCAGGGTGCTTGAACAAGGCTCTGACCTGTGCATGTTTACCACACCTTTTCTTGGGAGCATCTAGGTTCAAGACTACTTGGTTGTTAGAAGTTTAAGGATTCTAAAAGTATTACTTGGCTCTAAGTCTACTTTTCCAAAAGCATCATGTTGTGAGTATTAAAAGGTGATACATAAAAATTACTTTGGAATGTTCCTGGAACCAGGAATAGTAACTTAGAAGTAGTAGCTCTGTGGCCAGGATTTAAAGGAGATGCTTTTGTCTTACATGACCCTTAGTGCAAATGTACCCATTTAGCAGATTACAAAAAATAACAGGTCAAGAAACAAGGAAGTATTCCTGCAAGGGTATATATAACATGCAAATGAAGTTGCTGGGACTTAAACTGAAGGCAGAGTTAAAACCACCAAGATGGAGGAGATGTCAGAGAGCTCAGTCACAAAGGATTAGAAAGAATAATCCAAGTGACCAAGGACAAAGCATGGTCTAGACAGAGAGAACAGCACAGCCAGGAATGGAGGAGTGTGGGCCCACGCCATGCTGGGGGTCTGTGTGTAGCAGGTTGGCTGTGGGGAGTTAGGTATGGTGGTGGGAGGGTTTTCTATGCAGTGACAAGGAGGTCAGTTTCCTGAAAGCAGGAACTTGAGTGTGTATCCTCTCCCAATCCGTGCATTGAAACCCAAAGGCCCAAGGGGATGGCATTTGGAAATGGGAGGTCACTAGGCCATGAGCATAAAGCCCTCAAGATGCAGTTAGTGCTCTTATGAGAAGAGAAAGCTTCCTCTTTCTCTCCTTTTGCTCTCTCTGCCTGAAGAAAAGACAGTTATCCATAAGCCAGTCTGAGAATCCTCACCTGACACATCTGCCTGCATCTTGATCTTGTCTTCATTCTCAGTGTGAAGACCTGTGAGGGATAAACGTTCATTGTTTAAATAAGATAAATAGAAGGGGGGACAAGAGGGGGAGGAAAGGGAGAGAGAGCAGTCTGAATAAGGCAAGTGGGAACTAGAATTAGAATGTGTTTGCATATCAGTGGGGTTAGAAAATATGTTTTAAAGAGATGACTTCCAGAGCACCGAGCTTATTAGCACATGATAATGGAGTTAAATATTTGCAAAATAAATGAGTGATGAATTCACTATAGAATGAAAATGAAGTATCCAGATGGAGAGCCTTTTAGATCTGGCTCAGAGCCCTTGTCTGAAGAATAAAGACCTTTTTCATCATCAACAGAGATAATATTTTAATTCTCTTTCACTGGATTGTGTCCAAAGTGCTCCTTCCTCTCTTCTCCCCACCCCAATGTTGGTTGAACATCAATTAAGTGTGAAAAGGGAGAGGGTTATACTTTTCTGTTTCTCTTGCAGAACTCTATTGGTTTTAGCAGCTAACATAGACCTAATTATAGTAGTAACTCCCATTTTATGCAACTTATTATATATGAAGACACTGTAACAGTGGACTTGCTTAAACTCAGAAAGAGACACATAGGAACTTGGGAGCTGGGGTCAAGCAGAGGCTGGTCTGACTGAAGCACTGGAGCCCTTCCTTCTGTGCTACATTGGTTATTCCATGACCTTACCAACCTTAACAGCTGCTGGAAAAAGGCAGGCTGGCAATTGGCAATTCCTTGGGATGACTGCCACCTTCTGGTTCTTCTGAGAATAGCATGCACTCTGATAGGATTAACAATGAAAGGGAAATTTAGTTTTTTAGCAAGATACTGGCTGCCTACCTAAACACATCTAATACATACAGCAAAAATAAAGGACTGATTGTGTGTG